GCTTGAGAGTAATGCAAGGACATTTCATTAATCAGAATTTGCAATAATTTATCCTAAAAGGAACTGGCAGCATTTATGAATAATGGATTTGCTATATAGCAAAATAATTGAAGTGGGAATCTTCGTAACTTATATAATGAAACCAATTGATTATAAACATGTTTGTAGCATTGATTTGCATAAAGTTGTGTTCATTAAAAACATCTTTTGTGGTAGTAGAACCTGTACATGCTAGAAAAGCACCCTACCACTGAGGTCACTTAAAAAAAATAACCAGGGCCGGGCGGTGGTGGCGCATGCCTTTAATCCCAGCACTCGGGAGGCAGAGGCAGACGGATCTCTGTGAGTTCGAGGCCAGCCTTGTCTACAAGAGCTAGTTCCAAGACAGGAACCAAAAAACAAAACAAAACAAAATAAACAAACAAAAAAACAAATTACGGAGAAACCTTGTCTCGAAAAATCAAAAAAAACAAAAACAAAAACAAACAAACAAACAAACAAAAAAAAACCAACCAGGATCTCCACTTGATATAAATTCATTAGAAACTACTTATTCCCAGGGATACTTGAATAGCTGAAGCTTTATTTTTTTAAAATATGTTTGAATTTAGACATATTGCTATTCCAAGCTGGTCTTTTCTTCAGAAGCTTGAATTAATGAAACTGCACATTTCCTATATGAAGCTTCAACCCCCTTGACAAGAAGCATAAGATTACTTGATAACTGGAATTCAAGAACAAGGACTGGTCAGGAAGCTATGTTACAGGGGCAGGATAAAGTATTTACATGCTAATGGTTAAGGGGAATCTAAACTGAACACAGATTTCAGCACGTTGCACATTACTGGTAATGCTAGCACTGCAGCTGAACCTTTAGGTGTGAAATATGTCCCCAGTATATCCTTTCCTGTGGAATCCTATGTCAAAAAGATGTGTTCATTCTGAAGATCTGAAAAATGAAAGCATTCGTGTCTACACTGAAAGCTGCAATTAAAGTTGAAGGGACGTCCCCAAGTGGGCATGTGCTTAAACTAAACAGGTGGTTTGCTTTTTCTCTTCTTTTCAAGAGCGGACAGATCACTAAGGTGAGATGAGCTCTCTTAGCATAGGCATTGCCTTGTGGCATAAGCACTGTCTCCGCTGCGAACTTGTGAGTTAGAGCACTTAATAGTGCTCTAATGGTCTTTGTGACTATTGGAGCTATTGGGTGCAGCAGTGCACAGGGTTTGGCGGTTATGTGCAAACAATGTACTTCTACCGTACATCCGGTTGTCACCTTTGTGTGTGCAGGGGAGGTAAGACGAGAGAAAAATCACACATTTTTGTGGAGCTAGCATGGGAAGTGAAGAGACATGAAATAAAGGCTTCTCTATGACTTCTACTAATTTAACCTTTCCTTGGCTTCAAGATGGGGGAGCAACATGTGCCAGGATATGTTCAATAATCAAAACTGGCTCACTTCGTTGATTTTCTGGGTGTCTCTTAGCTGCTTGTTATTTTCCATTGACAGATACCATCTTCCAGGCATATGTGTTTGTCCTAAACCAAGTAAAAGACCCCTGTACTTGAGAAAGTCAGTCATGCTCTCTAGTGTCCGGCAGTCCTTAGAGTGTCCAAAGCAATTTGAACTCACTAGAAATGTAAAATATGTCTTTTTCACTTATGGGGCAGATCTGCTGTTACTCAGTTTACAACATTAAACATTTTCTTAAGACTATAAAACATGTTTTCCAATCCAGTTACTTGAAAATGTTTTAGATGGATGGCTCTCAGAACAATGATATTTGTAATTCTTGCATGTTAATATTGTTTTTTATGTTGCAGAATGATTTCAGTTAATCCCTATAATTTATTTACTCCATCACTGATAGCCTCGCTTCATATTTCATTCTGTTTTTTTTTATGATTACTATAGGTATCTTATCCTTGGGTCTTTAATTATTTGCTTGAAAACTGTTAAAATTTCTGTCCTACAACTTGACTCAGATAGATGAATTGAAGAGATTTGGGGGTACAAAATAGTATAAGAATATATGTTATTAAGATATATTATATTATATATGATATAATATATATGATATACATTACTAATACAGATTCTATAGAACACTAAGAACAGTATTCTTTCTCCATCTGTTTCTCCATTTATTGGTATGGAGAAAGAACACCAAACGAAACTTAGTCCTGCCTAATTTCTCTGCATTTGCTGATCTGCACAACCAGGGATCTGTCTGTGGGTGGCTTCCTCTGGCAGCGAATCATTGTCTGTGTCCAGCCTTTTTCCTTTGGTTTCTGTCTACTACGATGAAGAGATATTCTCTCTTACTGAGTTGAGGTGTTCTTCATGACTGTCTTCTGACGTGATTATATACAACCCTAGTACTAGTGTCAAAGCTCTTGAAGAAACATTCCAAGAAGTCCCTCTGTATCTCTACAAGCTGGAGGTGTTCCTCCAGTGTTTGATCCATCATCAAACAAAACATTATGGGTATCTCAGGTCTAAGTGGAGAACTGCCTCTGTCCCATGACACACTACTACTTCATTTACATCTCTAGTTCTAATGCCAAATGGAAATTAATAAGAATCCCTTGTTAAGTAATATGAGTAACCATGATCGGCTCTGTAGACTGAGCCAAATATTTACTGTATTTGTGGATAAAATCTAACACTGAAGGTTGAAAATGCTTGGAAAAGCCTATTCTTTCATAAGCATATATATTCATATGAAAAAGTTTAGTGGTGGCGGGGAAGAGACAGAAATCTTTAATAAATAAATAAATTAAAAAAAAGTTTAGTGGTTGGAGTTATCTGGCTTAGGGAATTATATTCATATCAGAAGCAACAGGATGCCAAATAAACATCCTAGTGCCAGCCAGATTTATGATAAATCCCCATGTGTTGCTAGCCAAAGGTGATCTGGAAACTCTAAAACAATACAGTCTGTTGTCGTTGTTCTTGGTTGCCTACTATTGCTGAAGACAACACATATATTGCTCAAAGGAGATAGAGAAATCAAGTTGGTAATGACTAGGAAGCCTCCTCTCTGCTGGCTAGCTCTCCCAGTACTGGAAGGTGCTATGCAGGCTGCTGGAGTAAAAGTCAGCAGCAGTCTTACCCAACTGTGAACCCTGTGAACTGTAACATAGACTGGGGCAGCAAGCTACACTTATAGGTTAAATAGTGAATGCTTTCTGCTTGGACTTAAGGCCTTCTTCATAGCAGGAAATACAAGCCTCACATGAAATATGGTCAGGAAGAGTTTTCAGCCCCTGAGGTCAATCTACTATTATTATTTTGGCTAAATGGATATAGTATAAAACTGCACACAAATTCATATCTGTCTACCTATAGATCAGTGCAGCTCTCAAGTCTCATGGTAAACCATCAGTGGATAGGGATTGATGTAAAAACTCGAAAGTTCTCAAAGAACATGCTCAACCACAAAAGGTTCATCTGTATCACATCCCTCCCCTGAGTCTTCACTCAGGGACCACCACAGAAGAGGGATCTGAAGATGCTAAAAGCCAGATATCATGCAGGACTGGAGCGAAACCGTCAGAAAGTTCATAGCAGCTACCATTACTGGCAAAAAGCCTCACGAGACCAAGTCAGGGAACGCTGTAGCATGGACAGGGAAGGGGTTCATGACCTCTGACTCCTAACTGAGGAACTAGGGACAGTTAATGTCTTCTGGGGAAGGAAGAGTCAGTTGTCTTTAAGGAGATGACTCCTGGCATGCTGACCACATTCTAATAAATGGCTCAACACCCAAGGGTGTATAGATAGCACAAATGCTGTCAATAGTTATTAAGTAAAGCTAAAAGAAAAAAGGAAGTCACAGAGGTATGGGGGTAGGCATATATCTTGGAAGAGTTGAGGTGAATGTGATCAAAACACATTTTATAAATTTCTCAAAGAATTAATGTAACATTTAAGATGTAATTAAATTTAAATTTATTATTAAAAAGACATTTGCCTTAGTTTGAGTTATTTGTTTCACATATCTGAATAATTACACTTAAAATATCTATGGACGTAGTAAGATAATCCTAAGGGTATAGTCATCTATCCCTTCTAGATAACTGAACTGTTTATAAAACCCATTTGCCAAATGGTTATCTGAGAGGGGCTTTGGACTTGTCTTGCAATAGTTGTAAATCTCATTGATCAGATTTCCCTGTGATCTTAGGTAGGCCTGAACCAAGCTGGTGAACCCTGCGTTTGGTACCTGGACAGGCAGTAAAGAAGCTGACATGAACTGAAATGTAGGGTGGGCTATTAATCCTGCAGAGTCTATTGCCCAGATCCCATAATCCTGAGATTTTGTCTTCAGAATATGGGAATAGTACCACACAGGCTGCCCAGAGCACAGGAATTCTTAAAGAATAAAATAAATAAAAGAAATGCTAGATAATAAAAAACACGGTGAAGAGTTGTAAAGAATTTTTTAAAAAGCAAGTATCATAAGTGTCATCTTTCCCATAAATTTTACTCTTTCTATAAGAAAAAAGTTGTTTTCTTTTCCAAAAGAGAAGAAAATAGTGTGCTCCATTTTGTATATTCAATAATTTATCATTCATTCATTCATTCATTCATTCATTTAGCACAGCATTCTCTCTGCTCAGGCTATTTCCATCTGAGTAGTAGAAACATGCATATATAATGCAACAGCAAAATTATTTTAATCAGTGATGAATGCCACTAGGAAAAAAATGTGGGTAAAGAAAGGAAAAGGATATCCTGAAGGAGACATGAAAGACTGTGTGACAAAAACAGGATGACTGACATTTTAAAAAAGATGCTTATATCCCTTCTTCTCCCCCTCCTTTTTGTCCTCCTCCTCCTCCTCCTCATCCTTGCCCCTTCTCCTCTTTCTTTCCCCCCTTCCTTTGTCTTCAATTTCATCACATTTATTTCAGGTATACAACATCAATACAATCACGATTTGATATGTAGTACCATGACTCTGAAACTTGACAGGACAAAATCCTGTACTTACCCATTTCATGTCTGGTGCTGGCTACACCTACACCATACTTTTCTAAAGTATCCTTTATCGTCTTCATTGACTCATCGTATTTGACTGCAAGCCCAAGATAGTTGTAGGAGCCCATGTTGATAACATCTTTAATAACTTTTCCAGTGTGTCTATAGGGAGATAAGCAAGTGAACACACAGTACTATCTCATTTGATATTCTCCTGCCTCAAAGACTTCAATTTGCCCAAGCCTGACATTGTCTTTCCCATTTTAATGTGTGCTTTTTTTTTTTTTTTGAGGAATATAACCGGATAGTAAGGTGAGGCACAACATTAGTGAAATGGCCTGGTCCCCAGTGTATTACTAGGCACTGGTTTTCCCTGAATGGTTGATTTTATGACTGGTTGAAACTGCTGCAAAACGTGCTAAGGTAAAAAGGTCACAGTCATCACCGACTCCATCCTTGAGAAAGCAGAAAGGTACAATTTGACAAGGAAGTTGACAAAGGCTCTTTCAGGTTTGACTGTCTGTGCTGTGCACCCGTATAACCTTAATTACAATGTCAAGAAAGCCCACTTGGCAATTTAATCCCTTTTTCTTCCACCATATCATGAGAACTTGCAAAGAGATGAGCAGGTGAAGATGAGCCTCATCCACACCTTAGCTTTTTCAGTTCTGCAACTTGTGTCCATGCTGGAGTTTACCTGAGTGTTTCCCCGTCAAGCCCTCCCAGCTGGCTGCCTCACCTGAATGTCCAGTTATAGTCATCAGACACTTTCTCCATTATGTCAATGTGGGGCCCTGGGACACTGCAAACCGTCTGATTCCAGCTGTCTCTGATTCTCATGTAAAGGTTCCTTTTATAAAAATTCTCAAAGTCCTGATACAACGGCACAAAATCCTGTTACAACAGAAGTGGAGAATGAAGGTTAGTTTTGGTCTTTCTTTTCTTTTTTCTTTTTAAAAAGATCTTATTTGCAGCTAAAATCTAAGAGAAATGAAAGATCCTGGTTTATTCACAAAGAGGACTTTGTTGAGCAAGAACAGGTGGATGGGGAGCAGAGGGAGCTCACAAAACTGTAGGACTTCCATGCCTAAAGAATCTGTGAAAAAAAATGGGCTCTGTGGCACATGTCTGTAACCTCAGCTTTTTAGGAAGCTTAGTTAGGAAGACTGAAAATTCAAAGCCTGCCTTGGCCGCAGAGTAGATACAAAACTAGTCTCAACAACTTAATGTGATTCTTCCAGAAAATAAGAAATAGAATCAAGTATCAGATGTGGTATCACTGTGGTAGGCTTTAGATAGAAGGTCCTAGATTCAATTATTGGTGGTGCCAAGTAAAAAAGGATAACAAAGATGCTAACTCAATTCAAGAGAAAATGGCAGACAAGGAGTTTCTTTACTGTCCATTAAAAAGGGGTAATTTCAATTGTAGGGTTGGGATGTATTGATACTCAAGCAATTCTGTTGGGGAAAATAGTTGAGATATTAATATTGATTTTTGAATCTAAATACTCTCATGCGTCGTGCTTTCAGGATAGGTGGACGTGGGTGATGGCAGGAATCTTCACTAATCGTGAGGACCTTGATAGTGATTTGAGGGCACAATTTGAATTACCTGCCAAATTGTGGTTGGCAGAGAGCTGCGGTATGTTGAGCGCCAGAAACTGAGCTGACAAGGTTTTGGAGGGATCAGGGCCTCTTTTGTAGGAGAGGTAGCTGCTTATGTTCCTGTACAAAATGTCACCAATGAATTTAAAGGTTTGCAATGAGCAGAGGTTCAAACCAAAACATCTATGATTTTATCAGATGGTTCATATAGTTGATATTAGGCAGAAAACACAAAAGCCTTACCTATGGCCTGAGTCAAATGCTTTGTGTATTCACAGTGATAGCGCAAGGGAGAGATTCACAACTTGTTGGAGGAACTGGGGAGACTTTATGATAAAAGAACCTTCTAGGGGGTGTTAAGGTAAAATGAGGTTGTGAGGGGCAAGAATAAAAGTGATGAGGCTACACAATGTGAGTAGGCTTGCTTGCTAGAAATACGGAGAGCCTTGGAGGAGAATGAGTGAGATTATATCATCTGGTACCTCATGTTGGTCTTTGTTCAGAATTCACCTCATCCAAAGACAAAACCAACGTTAAGATTCATGTGGCCTCTGAATACCTTTCTTATCCTACCTTCTAACTTTCCCTACAGTGTGGATAAGGCTGCTGTGCCACCAAGGAATAGCGCGAGGGAGACTTACATAGCTGTCTGAGGAGACTCAGCTTCATCCTACAGTCAATGGGAAGGCACTGAATAATGGGGAATAAACTTTCTCGTTGTTGTCATCCTCTCTGCTCTTCCTCATTGCATGGAGCTAGTTTCCCGAGAAAGGACCACGGGAAAGCCATCGTTTGATATCTCTCTATGCTTCTAATTTGCCTACTCACTCCTTGAGTTGGTTGACTCTAGAAAAAGATGCAGAGAATAAGCCACTTTGATGGCAAGTGGGTGGACCTCAGTGACATTCCTTTCTGTTATTTCACAATTTGCTGCTCAGTGACAATGACATGATTTCTTAGGAGGAAATTATGATTTTGTGTAGGAAAAAACTGCTCATAAACACACTTGAAAGGAACTTCCTATTGCATGTAAATTTGCCACGCCACCGGTTACATTCGACAACTTCAAACCACTCAGTTTCTCTAATAGCCATGATACAGGTCTTATTATTAAAATCTGTAAGTGTATGTGATGAGCCATAACATCTTTTTACACCTTCACAAGGAAAAGATACAATTTGTTACCTCTCCAATTTCATAATTTTTCAAATTGTTTCTTGCTTTGCAGATTAGTTTAATGAAGATTTAGTATTCCAAAGACAGTGATTGCGATAGGACTTATTGTAGAGGACAATCTTCAGATTTGTCACTTGGCTTACTTGTCTATTTATTTATTTATTGATTGATTGATTGATTTATTTATTTATTGTTTCTGACGTAAAGAGCTTGGTGTAATAGAGACAATAAGGACACAGTCATTTGGGGATATGGGAAAAAGTGAATTCTGCCTAAAATCATAGATACAAAAGAGTATTGATCCTTCTTCATTATGTCAGTCATTTTGTTTTCTCTTAAATTATATGATAAGTTTAAAATGATACAGCTTTAACAGAAAAAGTGACAGAATGTCAGAAAACATCACTACATACATTAGAAATTGTAGCTAGCCCAGAGTTTGAGTTTTGCGGGATGTGTAAGTTCTAGAGAATCAGTGGACAGGGTGGTGGCTATATTTATAATAATGTACTGTGTGTTTTAAATTTGATAAAACAGAAGATCTTAAATGTTCTCAGTACAAAAGAGATAAAATGGGTGTAATAGGGAAGAGACAAAACTCTACTTATTTGTAGATGATATGATTCTATACATAAAACACCCTAAAGACTCTACTGGATAATTTCTACAACTGCCAAAATACATTCAGAAAAGTAATAGGATATACAATTAATAAAAAAGTCAGTAGCTTTTATACATGCTGAGAAATTAGCAATTAGGAAAAGATCTCATTGATATTAATCTAGAAGAAATCTTGGAATAAATCTAATTAAGGAAGAACTAGAATAAAAAGAACTTTAAGACATAGAAGAAGTGTAAGAAGAGGGAAAGACCTCCCGTACCTAAGAACTAGGATTACTATTGTAAAAATGGCCATCCTACTAGAAAACAAGTCCTACTAGATTCTTCACGTAAATATATAAAAAAAAAACCTTAAATTTCATCTGGAAGCACAAAAAAATTCAAAATAATCAAAGTAATTCTGAACAATCAAAGAATTGAAATGCTGGCTTCTTAGTAGAAAGTTGAAATCTGATTTTACCAAAGAACTCATTTTCTAAGATAAACAGAACTTTCATGTTATTGGAGTTCTTTTCCCAGCCTATCTGCATACTTTTATAGATACCTTAGAAGAGTGGGTTTGCTTTTGAGGCAGAAGATGCATGGGAACAAGCCTTATGAGGTGATTAAATTTTCACCTGCTAGTCATTTCTACTGTGTTTAAAGGTATACATTCACAAACAAACACACATTAAATTTACCTTTTGTGTGTGTGTATATGTGTGTATGTGTGTGTGTGAACTATTTGAGGGATATTTTTCTTCCACTGTGTGTCCCATGGAACTGAGATTTTTCAGACTTGGTGGCAAGTACCTTTTTACCTATTGAATCATCTTGTTGTTATTTATTTTTTAGTTACAGGTAAGACAGGCGTGAGCTGTACAGACAATTCCTGGACAAAAGAAATGGAAATTAAAATCCCTGAGACTGGTAGTTTGAGCAGAAGGAGTTTGAGGAAGAGCAAGCAGGTCTTAGTATTTGAAGTAGAGTAAGTCAAGGGACCATGGTAGAGAAGATGAATTAGATACAGAAGAGGGGACCACATTCTGTAGAGAACCCTCGCAGGTTTGCTTTTTGGTTAGTGACTTGGACATACATTAGTTCTGTGCAAAGATGGGATATGACTTGACTTGGGAATCATATTGGTTGTCAGATGAGAAGAGATCATAAGGTTAAAAAAATGGACATCAAGTTCATTGGGTAAGAGAAAATAGAAAAATCATGCCGCAGCATGATTGGTCAAAATAAAACAAACAAAAAAGCCAACAGTCATCTAGTGATAAACATATTTTGAACACAGGGCAATCAACAATTACTGACAATTTGACTTGGGGTTCAAGATAAAGGGTGACTTGAAGGCTTTTGTGAGGAGCCCTTGGGTTTTCAGAATCACCATTTACTGATCTGGGAAAGATTTTTGAAGACAGTGGCCTGGAGGGGAAGCTTAAATGTACAATTTGTAGTACTGGATGAAGATGTAAGAATGTAGATTCTCATTTTCTTTTGTTTTCACAATAAAATAGGAAGCAATAGGTCATTGTTACAAAAGTCAAGAGGTACTGGAGACTTGAAGAGGGAACAGAATGTAAGAAATAGTTGCCTAAGAGTCAGTAACTAAATATACTAATGTGATTGGCAGGTATTACTCAACTACCTGAAGTTTATTCACCCTGAATTTAAGGGGAAATCAGTCCTCTTAGGCAACAGGAGATATCAAGTAGAGTTTGTATCAAAGCCCATCAAATTCCAACTGAATAGAGGCAGGAGAAAGTGAACACAGGGAACTGAGAGAGCTTAAATTCTGTGACTGGGGCCTTGATAGATGGGATGGGGTACAGTTGCTAGTGGCAGCCCTGGAGGGAGAAAGCTGATAAAGACAAGCCCTTTGAGCTACCCACATGATTAGGATGTGTGCTCAGGTTTTACTCTTTCCTATCCTCATCCGTTAGTCATTGACGGTGGGCTTCAGGAAATAGCACCTACATGGGCCACCTTCCGTGGAACTGAAGGGAAACTAGCTCGACATGGAAAGGGAGATGAACACCTAGGGACAGTAAGAGATAGTGCTGCCACCACATGAATACTGGTGATGGCTGAACTTCCAGGGAAGAATTTCTAGAATAACAGGCATTGGCTTCTCCTATGATCATGTTTAGAAGCGAAAGATCTTGTTGCTATGGAATCCTCATTAGATTATGAATATCATCCCCTAATCTGTACATATCACAAACTTGAAAACTATTTTTCCAAACCACTGACTCACAGTTTTGCCTGCACAGTAAAATCACCCAGCAAGCTTGTATGTACCCCTTTATCCAGGCTTCACCTTGAAGTAGTTAAATCAAAGGTTTTTTTTGTGTAAGGCCCAGGCATTGGTTTTCTATTAAAACTCATTGATTTTAATGAGTAACCAAGGCTACAAAACACTACTTTAATATTACTCTCTTGCAAACTGAAGGCTAATATAATCAGTTCCTAAGGCTACCCCAAGAAGTTCTCTCTAGACCCTCATG